GTAGTAGTAGTAGTAGTATGTAGTAGGAGGACGAGGAGGAGGAGTATGAGGAGTATGAGGAGTAGGAGTAGGAGTAGGAGTAGCAGTAGTAGCGGAGTTCGTCGTCGTAGTGGTAGTGGTAGTGGAACGGTAGTGGTGGTGGTTGGCATGAGGCGAACACGAGATGACTGTCGCATCGAGTTTAGGAGAGGACCATGCATGATTCTGTCCCTGCATATGCAACGAGAGCAGCAACCATGATATTAGATCTGCGATCAATGATCTTGCTTAGGGCTCCTGCAGACTTCCCGGACCTTGAAGGCAGATGTGTGCATTTTTCGCAGCTGGCGGAGCAACGGCCACGTCGCCTCGACTGTTATGGCTACTCTCTCACTTGCAAGAACGTATCCGGTTCTTGTTGTACCGCTTGCCGGAGTTATGAACTGACTTTTGAAGCATCGCGGCACAATTGACCTTCGAAGCCGAGTCCTTTGACTTCCCAGGGTTCCGTGGGTGCAGAGAGCTTTCCAAGGCAGCAGGCACAGGGCTGTTTGACTCCACGTCGCTGAAGTCAGATATGCAAGAAGCAAAGCCGATTTACTCATGGCCGGGTGAGCAAAGCTGGCCAGAACTCGCCCTAACTGAATTCAGATGCGAAGCCGTGGCCGCAAAATGGCAGGTAGAGCTGTAAGCAAGCTGCAAGGTAACGTGCACTGCACTTGCGGACTTAGAACTCCGCCTATGTTCATGTCTCATGACGCAACTTGTGTGAGTCCGTCTTGCTGTCTCGGTTCTGAGCTGGAAATCGACGATGTTAACAATCTGCCACCCGCACTGAGTCATATATAGTATGCCACTATAGTATGCCACCGGTCGAGCTTCTGCATCCAGACGCTGCTTCGACGTCTGCTATGCAAACAACACAACGATCTGCAGAGCGACTACCATCGCATGCCTCGGCAAACGGGAGAGCCAACATCAGCACAACATGTTCCCGAGCCATGGACCAGGCACGGTTTGAGAAGACCGATAGGGCCTTAGGGGTTACGGCGGGGTCCAGGACGTGGAGCGAATCCTCGACGTCCAGTACACTAATGTTGCTCAGAGCTTTGGGTTGATGGTTGCAGATGTTGAGTTTGTTGTGTTTTGCATTCTTGGGTCCATGTGGCATCGGCAGTCAGCAGGCGCTCTGTGGTCGACTTTGGCTCCGTGAATCATTGCAGTCGATTGCGCACGCGATCTTGGCTGAAGTCATCTGAAGTCTAGAAGTCCAGCTACCTTGCTAACGCGTACCATGGCATTTGCGACTTCCGTGACGCGGCTCGCAACGAAACTCCCAAGGGTATTCATGGTCGCGGTCATGAACGCTAAAACCTGAATCCTACCTCCTGGCGTCTTGAGTCCTAAAGATTGATCTGTCCGGAACACATCAGAATCAGAGTAACCACAGTTTGCCGCGATTGAGCCATGGCTGACCCACGGCCGTTGCTCTCTGGGCAGGCATCCAGTCAATGTATAGAGGCAATGGTTTACAGTATGTTTACAGTACATATTGATTATTAATATGATGTACATCAGCTACACACTGCTATGTCACCAGCATCGATATTAAGGTGCGATAGCAAACATACTACTTTCGGCTATATATAGTGTCGAACCCTTTTGCATTGTTTCATACTTCGTTCCATTGTTGTGTGGCTATCGTGATGTAGTATGTGCGGTATCGGACGATCTTAAGTTTGAGGTGACTTTTGCCAGGCTTCTTTTCTAGTATGGCACAGGCACAGGTCCTAAAAAACGCCTTGGAAGACTACAGTACCTTCTCTCGACCTGCTTGCTCCACCTTTAAACCTCTCATGTGCAGCGGTCCCACGTCTCACTGTTTAGCCTCGTCGGCCACGAGGAGCATCTTTGTGCAGCGCACTTTAACTTGTCACACCAAAGCATGTCTAACGGTGAAGCTCGAAAAACCCGAGTGTGCAAACGTGAGTGCAAAGAACAGTTGCAGCAGCTTTCTATCCAGCTTTACACAGTGGTTGCAACGAGTACGGTACAGATCTCGGTAATGCATCGTCCAGAAGTTATGCAGCCGATCATCATGGCTAATCTCAAACCCGGCCAAACCTTTGCCCGAGGGCACGGCCTCTGAGCTCGACTGCTTGGTCGTGGGTGCAGGCTCGGTTTCGGTTGGAGAGCCCGGGCTGAGTGGGCTGAGGGGGCTTTGGCTTGGGCTTTCCAGCTTCTTCAGAAGCACGCTGTGAGAAAGGCCGCATCGCAAGCTACCAACTGGATCACCGCCACTTCCGCACTTCACGAATCACCCCATTCAATTCAATCGCACGCTTTTCCTGCGAAGCATACTCTTGTCAGCAGTTGAAGATAGTTGAAGCGCACAAGACTCGGCAGATGCATGCATGGATCTGATGGTGTTGAGCAGTTCCCTGCATGTCAAGAGAGCCTCAAGGTCCTGTGGGCCTGCTCCTGGCAGCAGAGTTGTCAGGCACTTAGCGTGGTGATTTCTCTGAAGAACGGGCGTTGTGATGAAACTCCTATGCGAACGCTATGAGGCATGATCCTTGTGGCAGTTTCGCGTGAGCCTATGTCAATATCACCGAGTCGAAGCTCAGGTCCGCGCGAGGATGCCAGGCACTGTGGGTTCCCAAAAGTTCCTTGAAAGAGCCTGTACCACAGCGACTAAAGCAGAGGCAGAGGCGGAGCCCGGTCTGGTGCTTGAGCAATCTCAACAAGCAGCGATGTACTGGGATTCAGAATCCATGCCTCAGATGCAGATGCCGCACAATCCAAACTCCCAGCTTCAGTCTGCTTTTGGGCAGGTTGCTATCATCGATGCCCTGACAGAGCCAGCGAAGATCACCAAGGCAGAGCAAGCTTCGAATTCCGAGCCCCAAAATCGGATGGCCCAGCTTCGAGCAGTGCATGACATGATAGTGCATGCAAAGAGTTCTAGCCTTTCTCTATCAGGCATCGGGAGTGGTCCCACGAAGCTTGGAGGTACGGATCCCTTGTTCAGAAGGTTTGCTTTGTGTCGGAGTTGCGTTGAGCTCTGTGCAAGATGCTGTCGATGTAGATTTTCGTTTTTTTTACGCAGCTGGTTTCCACGAGCTTCAGACATTATCAAAGGGCTCTGATATGTCAGCAATTTGAGACGTTGCGCCGTCTTGTCTTGATTTGTTCTGCTGTGGCTGGAGGGCAAGGGGTTTTCGCAATCTGCATAACTCGGACCCAAGCCACCCGCCCTCTGACTCTTGCAGAAGTTCAGTTCTTGCACGACAATTGCGAGACAGCCCCTAACGCCAACTCTCCGAAGCTCCGAGTTATCACTGACAGGTTCTGCCCAGCGAGGTGGAAGCAAAGCTGTTGAAGCTCAGCTGCAGGGGAGGGAACTAGGGAGCTGGCGCAGTGAGGTGGGGAGGTCTGAGTCACTCAGTCCTGGGACGCGAGGAAGAGCGGGAACCTGTTGAAAGAGATGAGAATCCTCGAGAAGCAGGCTCGGGCCCCGGGGGTCTCGAGTGCCTGTCTGAGCAGATCTTAGTCACAGGGTTTCCTACTTGCTGGAAGACTGATGTACAGATCCAAGTATGTCGGTGTCGTGATGACTTTCAGAAACATGCATGTTCACAGGAGAACAAGCCCATCAAGACGGTGCTGTCAGTGCAGACTGCGCCCATGGAGGCATCACGCTGTTTCGGTGTTTTTTGGGCAAGACACGGTTCATGGTTTACCGGTTTACCGGATTCGAGCATGAAGGTCGCAAGGAAGTGCGAATCTTTTGGCATGACGGGACGCTCAAAGAAGGGGGGTCCAGTTGTGGCCGAGGGATTGTCACAGCAATCGGGCACTTGCTGCGAGCATGCCATCGATGGGCCATTCAGTCTGAGCAGTTCCTCTCAGCAAAATGTTAACATTATCATTTATGTTCTCGCCTGCCGGCTGTGTGAAGAGCTTCTCAGGTCTACCATGGAATTCTCGGCATCCGCCAGACCGAAACCTCACTGAATTGCTGATGCTTCGGCCTGTCATGTATTCAACATGCAGAAGTCGTGTCGTCTATGTTTGAGTCTTTGCCGGGCATGTAGAAGCGTACATGAGCTTGCGGCCAAAGGAAACTGAGCGCTATCTCACCGAGTACTTGAGTGAGCTCCCCGACTGGACTCAGGGTGGAAAGAAGCTTGCTTGCATTTCCAGGCCTCAGAATGGTACCTCAAGAGTCAAGAGCTCGTTTGTTGGGCACATGCCAAGATATCAAGCTTGCTTTGCTCCGTCATGTTCAAGCCTCCAAAGCTTTGGGCCCCGACCAGCTGAGAAGCTACAGTAGTCTGGGCAAGTCTGGCTTGAACAGGTGGGTTCAAGAAGGATTTGATGGGCACATCTGAGTAGGTAGATCCGAGAGGGACCCGCCACCACCATGTCCGAGTTTTGCAAGTTGGGCTCAAGGGGCTTGCTTATCAACTGGCAGATAAATTTGGTGTGCTTCGGACAGGTTCACGAAGTTCTTGTGGGCCGACTCTCGCTTTCAGATTCCGACAATGGCTGGCGGCTGCGGGGTGCCGGCCACTGTAGCCCTGCCTGCCAAATTTTGCATTGACTTCAGATTGGGCTAGAGACCGCATCTGAACCTCAAGTTGGAGCAGCGGGATGCCGTCTGTAAGCTGCGGGATGTTCCGTCAGGAAGAAGATGTCAATCCGGCGAGGAGTGGCCTTGGATTCCTTCACCGAAGGCCCAGCGATGCCGGCTTTCGGGGGCTCCCTGACTCCCATCTTCTCCCATGCGTGCAGGCCCTATGGGAGTTCAGTGCCACCTAAAGCTTCCAGAAGGTACTCAAACGGTGCCTTGACAGAATTCGACAGACTTAGGCTTCGGGATTCTTGCTTGCTGGCTTGAGGTTGACGTCGCAAGCATGTAAGATGTGCTCATAGTCTGAGCCTCAACGCATGGGAGTTAGGTGACCTGCAAGTTCTTGGTCGCCTGCGACGGCGGCAGATCTACAATCAGGCCAAGATGAAAGCTCAGGGTGATTTCGTTTGGGTGCGAACAGACCGAAACCCGAGAAAATCCATGAGGTGATGGGTCAAGCGGCTGCATGGAGTCCTGGAGTCTTTTATGACTTCAAACAGATGAGGGTGACTGGTGATTACACAGAAAGTTTGAAGGAGAACCTCGCACACGCAGCCACGTGCAGAATTTTCTTGAAAACCTCGAGAGGCATCAGTTGGGTTACTCCTTCGAGGGTACCACCACACCGGAGTATTTCTTTGGCCTCGACGCCTGCTTTGAGAATTGGGAGTTCGACTCCAAGGACGTGCTCCGGCGAACATAGGACAAAGCCGAAACGGCCTATGCAAGCAAGGACAAGTCAGGACAAGTTTGTTCCGAGATTTTGACAGCCAGCAGAATTGCCGGAAGCATCATTTTCATGGTGTCCGGCGCGAAGATAATATCTCTCGCAGCATCCGGAAGCTGAGGTCGTCAGTGTGTCGCTGACCCAGGACAAGGCCGGGACCGCCGCATTTCATCGGCTGCTCAAAAAACAACAGCGACGGCAAAATCGACGACAACTGGAGCAGCAGTGCCAGTCATCCTTGTGCTTTCTGATTCTAGGATCCATTGGCACCTGGGTTTGCCTTCAACATACCCTTTGGAGATGGTAACTGCCTACTGCGCCTGGGCAGAGAAGACAGAGTTTGAAGCTTTGGTAAGACTTGCGGACTGTGAAGCCCTCAGTCCCAAGCTTTGCAAACCCAGGCTCGTGGACCTCGACCTACAGCAGCAGAAGGATTGGGTCACAGGCGTAAGATATGTTGCTTTTGTGACGGATTTGCGACTGCCCCGGAGTTGAGAGATGAGCGATGACGGTGACGGATGATGGCAGAACACCGTGAAATGAACCCTAAGATGTACAGATGAAAGGTTTGTCAAGTCCGTAAGCATCGCTGCAGTATGCGCTTTGTAGGTGAAACGGACCGCAATGGCTTCCCAGTGCTGCGCCAGCCGGAGGCTTGCAATTCTGTTCACGTCTCACCATTGTTTTCGGGAGATTCGGTTGCAGTCAAACTGTCCGTGCCGCCGGGATTTTTGAAAGCACGTCTCGCGAGTGTGCCTTTGCAAGTTCACTTCCTTTTTTGTTTCTGCCATGCAGTGTTGCCAAGTGTCGGCATTGCTCTTGACTCTTGATGCGTCTATCCTTGTTAGATGACTGTCATGGCGAAGATGATGCGCATGCTGATGACTCGTGATGTCGATGCTGGAGTGGAGGGGTGCAGCCGAGTAGTTGCTGTCTTAGCTACGGCTCTGATGGCTTTTCAATGAACATGTTGTTCTTTCCAGTACCTGGTCAGTCCCGTATGGTCCCGTCAGGCCTCTCTACCTGCCGGGTTTTTCTGTTGCGATGGCAGGTGGAAGACGTACTCCGAGTGGCCCGATCCCGTGGACTGGGCCAGCAGTGCTCTGTGACCTCACTGAAACCCGTAGTCTGCCAGTAAGCTTCTTGAGACTTAAGACTTAAAAACATGCAGGAGTTTCAGCGAGTGGACCCTAAGAGCTTGAACTTTGTGCAGAAGTATGCGGAGGATCAGTGATTTGTCCCACCTCCGAAAAGACTGCCCGGCTTGTCAACTTGCTGCTTCGCCCCAGCCACTCCCAAAAAGCCGGCGTCAAGAAGTTGAGGATCGGGTCCGGTTCAGGGTTTAGGCGTGTTTGTGCGTCAATCCTACTGCACGCATCCATATATCGACCACTGCAACACTTCAGGTGAAACCTGGCTCGGTGAAATGGCTGACGCATTTCAGGGTCAACTCACGCCAGGCTGGGTATAGCCCACGCATAAAATGTACATACATACATACATACATACATACATACATACATACATACATACATACATTCATACATACATACATACATACATACATACATTCATACATACATTCATACCTGCACACATGCATACATACATACATACATACCAACACATAAATATGTACATGTGTATATCTATCACACCTGTATGTCGAGCATTGCACTGGAGGTATGTACACACAAGATGCATGCGCTTAATTACGTTGTGCCTTGGATAAATCTCAGGCATAAAGGCTTGGGAACACGAACATGAACATATTTGCACCAGAGGTACATACACACAAGATGCATGCGCCTAATTACGTTGTGCCTTGGATAAATCTCAGGCATATAGGCTTGAGAACGCGAACATGAACATATTCTTGTATATTAATGCTAATGCTGATCTATCCATCTATCTATCTATCTAGCTAGCCGTCTCTCTCTCTCTCTATCTATCTATCTATCTATCTATCTATCTTTCTTTCTGTCTCTCCTTCTATTCATCTATCCATCTAGCCATCTAGCCATCTAGCCATCTATCTATCCGTCTATCTATCCATTTATCCATATATCCGTCTATCCATCTGCCTATCTATCTATCTATTTATCTATCTATCTATCTATCTATCTATCCATATATCTATCTATCTACCTATCTATTCAGCTAGTCCTGCCAGGGGAAAGTATCTAGACATGCGTATATGCGCTCTTATGGTGGCAGACAAGCAACCAAACAAGTGCATAGACACATACGAAGTCATTGGGGCCGTGGGGTTTAAATTGAAGACACCCACTCGTTGATGGTTGCTTTTTAAGGGATATAACATCAAAAAGGGATGATGGATTCACCAAAAGGCATCTAAAACCTAACACGAGATGATAGGTGACGAACCCAGTCGTTCGGAGAACTATTGTCCAAACCGTGGGCAGGAGAGGATGGAGGGTATCTCACACAACATCCCATGAGGGACTGAAAACCACAGCCGTGACAGGATGTGACTAAGAACAGTAGGTAGGTGGGCGGACGTTCATCATTGGGGCTAGGGGTGACGCACTCCAATGACTCCAAAAACAAGTAGCACAGACATCGACAAGACTGCGACGATAAGTGCAATAAGTGGATCGGAGGACTGGCTCCCAAAATGGAGGAGTGGTTCGAGACAACAGCTTCACAAGTACAAGCGGAAAACAATGACTATTCAGAAGAATCGCAATCACTGACCATAAGATATGTTGGATCTTCAGTTCGAAGCAAGTGATGTAGATGATGAGCCCCAACCACCAGTAGACTCAGTAGACTGGGCTCCGACAACTCCAAACTGCGCAGGTTGAGTCGCTGATCCCAAACCTCAAACACGATGACGGGCTTCAATTCGTAAACGCGAAGAAGAGTAGCTGATTCCAGAGCATCACCAATTCTGACTAGAGATGCTGGCCCAATTTTTGGTAGCAGCTAGTGGACGCAAAGCGGATAAACGTTGATTAGGTCATAAACTCCTGCAAGAGCCTTTATGGGTGGCAAAGCCAAAATCCGAAACGTGTTGGCCACTGGGTGGCCAACACTGTAACCCTACATGGAGCATGTGGGTCCTAATTAGCTGCTGTGACAGGATATGTGTCAAGTTAAGAAGCCCTGGGAAAGATATCATCGATGACAAGCTTGAATAAGTGGTTGTAACACATGAAAACGATGATTGAACTAGAATTACTCGCAAAGGGAAATATTTGGTGGCAAATCCGAATCCTTTGAACGGCTGACCTGACACCAGAAACCCGAATTTCTGCTGCGTGTGTGCACATGTAGGTATGCGGCATGAATATTTGTATTCTGTATCCACATATGTGTTCGGATACTGTGTTTCTGCGCGTGCATGTGTGTGTGTGTGTGTCTGTGTGTCTCTGGCTGTGTGTGAGCGCGTTTGTGCGACTGCCTGTCTGTCTGTCTGTCTGTCTGGCTGGCTGTGTGTCTGTCTGAAAAGAGGCTTATTTCTATGACTTTGTTTTTTCTGTTCTTCTGGACCCACAATTATTGACATTTTTGAAATAATAGAAACTCTTCTCTCCAGTACATAGGGGGAGGATCCCTAGGGATTTGAGAAATAGACAAATAGTTGAAACAATAGAAATCAGGTCGATTTCTACTATTTCTATGATTTGGGATCCCCAATTCTAGAACTAATTGAAACAATAGAAATCGCCCTTGTTTTCTACTATTGTTAATTCTGTTATTTCTATTATGTAAATCACTGAAAACCAACGGGGTGTGAGCCCGAGGGATTCGGATGTCTATTACTTTTTAATCAGTAGAAACCAGTGTCGATTTTTTGTTTCTATTATTTGGGATCCCAAATTTTTGCCAATAGCAGCACATTTTACCAAGCGGTTCTTAGGCAAAATTTGCTGCAATTGATTAGTTCGTGGTTATATGTAAATAAAGGAACAGCTAATCGCTGCAAATTTTGCCAACCGATTCTCAAGCAACATTTGCAGCGGTTGACAGCAGGAAGCAGCCAATCGCAGTAGATTTTGCTAGCCGATTCTTGGGCAAACTTTGCGGCGAGTGACCGGTTCGTGGTTATATACCAACCAGGAAACATCCAATCGCAACAAATTTTCCCAACCGACTCGTGCGCAACAAATGTTGCTATTGACTTGTTCGTGGTTATATTAAACTCCGGAAACAACCAATCTCATCAACTTTTGCCGACCGATTTTAAGGCAAAATTTGCTGCGATTGACTTGCTCGGGTTCTTTGTTATGCAAATGTTGCAAATCGATTCTTGGGCGAAAATTTGCTGCTGTTGACTTGTTCGTCGTTATACGCAAATCAGGAAGCAGCCAATCGCTGCAAACTTTGACAGCCGATTATCAAGCAAAATTTGCTGCGATTGACTTGTTCGTTGTTATACATGAACCAGGTCAACTTCTAATCGCAACAAGTTTTGAGAACCGGTTCTTGGGCCGACTTTGCTGCGATTGATATGTTCGTGATCGTATATGAACCAGGAAGCAGACAATAGCAGCATTCTTCTTCTTGTTGTTGTGCTGGTAGTTGTTGTTGTTTCTGTTGCTGCTGATGTTGCTGACATGAAAAGTCCGACCGACACGAAAACTATAGAGCGTGAACATCAGAAGGGAGGAGGGGGGACATTGCTTGCGATTGAGGATCTGAATAGGGGAGAGATTAGTGGTTTGACCACCTTACCCGTTCCGTCATCACAACCCCTCCCCTTATTGTACCACTTTATCTTCTTCGTCATCATATCCTTCCCCTTCATTCAGTCAATATGTTTACCTTCACCTCCCCGTCCCCCTTTCCAAAAGCAAGTATCCTCTCCATCTTCAAGCTCTCTCGTATCATCTTCATTACCTCCTTTTTGGACTCTGTGATTGTTGTGTTATTGAAGTGTTGTGTTTTGCCGTTGTTGTTGTCGCCATCGCTGTTGTTGCTGTTGTTGAAGAAAAAACAAGGTCTGACTGAGAGAAAAACATAGAATACAAGACCAGATGGGGAGGACATGCTTGCCATAGATCAGACCCCATCCCCGTCCTTTGATTTTTATGACCTGCCTCCCCATCCTACCCTCCCAAAAAACTTATCTGTCAATCTTCGAACCTTCTCGTCTCGTACTCGTCTGTACCATAATTATCATTTGTCTCTGCGGTTGTTGCTGTTGTCGTGGTTGGTGGTGTTGGCCTCCGGGCTTACATTGAAGCTTGGGGTCTAGAGTTGATGCTAAGGCAGAAAGCTGGAAACTTACACTTACAGCACCAAAGAAAACAACTATACGTAGTATAATTGTTACCAGTGCTAAGTTATGACCAACATTCATGCTAATATATAATATTTTTTGTTGTGATACTGATGGTCACTGCTTTGTTCATGCTTGCTGTTGTTCATATTGCTCATATATGTTTTAGTTTATATACTCGTATGATTAAGTAATACTATCAGCATTGTGAGGATGGTTTGCTGCTAATTATGCTGATTGCGAGTGTTGTTGTAGCTGCTGCTGTTGCTGTTGCTGTTGCTGTTGCTGTTGCTGTTGCTGCTCTTTTTTTGTTGTTGGTCTTGTTGTGTGTCTTCTTCTTGCTATTATTGATGTTGTTGCTGTTGTTGACCCCATTGCTCATAAACGGGCTGGGGGTTTTGGAGTTGATGTAACAGTTAGAAGATTGGAAGCGCACTCACGCCAAAGGAGCGACAAATACCAACTCAAACGAATGACACAAGGCTGGTGGAAAATACGAGAACGCGTCATATTGATTATGTGTAATGTGGAACTTGATCTATTGTTATTTGTGTGCTGTGGGAAGGATACCAGGAAAACTGTCGGAGTTTAACCCGCATAAATGCCTCTGTTGCTGTACAGCATTTAACTAGGCTTGTAGTATTGTAATTGTAAATATACAAGCGTGGTTAAATAAACCTAAAGGTATCGGGCTCATACCTACATATATATATATATATATGATCTAAAAATATATTGCAATATATTGTGTTAGCTGAAATTGTAATGCATTAAATTCTATTTTTCCCTATTCTAACATATTATATTCTATAGAGGATGATTGTCCATCGTGTGTTATTGACTGACTTGCTTGTGCGAGAGATTCTCGTTCCAAGTTTTCCGGGAACGCTCGTTCGAAAGTTGGACGTCAGTTTCGGTGGAAGTCAGCTGAACCCTTTCAGTACTTCTTGTAGGAGGCTAAGACATCAAGAGCAGGTTACTCTCCGCCTGGTCATGCTTACTGGAAAATGCACCTTGCCCAAAAAGTGCACGGACCTTCAACCCCAACCCTAAATGCCACGCAGCAGGTCGAGTGTTACGGTCGCGGCCGGGTGTTTCTGGCCGGAGATGCGTGCCACTGCCACTCCCCCTTTGGTGGACAAGGACCGTCGGGCAGGGCCTCAAGTGTAGCATCAGTCAGTATGCGTGCAGACGAATGTTTACCACCACCGCTACCAGTACCAGCGCTGATCACTCAGGCCAACTGCAGCCGCAACGGCAGGAAAAAGCAAGACACCTCATGCTTCAACACCACTACCAACAGCAACGAGCAAAATCAATTACTGAACGCATCACTACGAACAGCCGGAACATAGACGGGCCATGATAAGAGTTCCTGTCTGCATCTGATGTTGATGTTGACTATTTTGATATCAATGTTGCTAGTTTTCGATGCACTTCGGGCCGTGTGAAACTTCTCAGTCAAAAGCCTACTCGTTACAGCCAATTCATATGGCCTTCATCTTGATACCTTACATGTATGATTTTACCTTTATCACTTCGCATGTGTGTTTTGAGTAAAGACACATGCATACAAATCCATCGCACACAGACGCACACGCTCTCGCCCTCACTCTCGATGTTTAAACTCAGATGCAAGTGCACTAGCCTCGCTAGCCATGTGCACATGGGATCGTTCGCACACACGCACACACGCACACACACACACACACGCGCGCACACGCACGCGCACACAAACCGACTAGCAGCCACGCAACCAGTTCTTTAATGAATCCCAGCCGGGGGCGCCTAAGACTCGGAGTCAACAGGGCGCCTCTCTTTCTCGCAGGTCAAGGTGTGCTGTATGCAGGCTTTTCGTAGGCCTTGTATTCGAGCCTGATGAGTGATGCTTCTACTTAAATACAGAACATGGAAGATGATGACCCCAGAGTGCCATTCGAACTATTTGGACCCTGTGCGGTGTTTGCTCATGCCGTCGGCGTGTAATGTTTGGCTGCCACACCTTAGACTGTCTCAACGAAGGTTTGGGAAGTCCCTTAACCCTGAACCGAGCTTGACGTATCCAGTCTTCATCTTTGCTTGTCTACATCACAATTAGTTTCAATTCTGAAACTGAACGCGCCTGGCAGGCATGAACATGGGCTTCCAGGATGCCAAAAACCTGTCTTGGAAGTTGGCTACGGCAATCAAGAGTCTCGGCTCAATTACGGAATCTAACGAGTGAGCATGTAACAGCACGGTTCTGCTGACGAACCACATTTCAGGGGTTGTGTTAGGGGTTATGCAAGGTTCTGTCGATGGCCGGTTGCAGGGAGAGGAGGGTTGGCCCCGGCTTCCGCCCAAGCGTCAGTCTGTTTCGAGCGCAGGCTCCAGGAGACCCGGCAGCTGTACGGACCTTTGCCCCCTTTCGCTATGCAGTTCTCATTATTGGGTGACAGCCTCGCAGGAGCCCGAAGAAAATGCCCCGCCTAAAGTCAGGTGCGGCGGTCCAACGTCTTCTCTGTTGCTCTCCTACGAAAGTGCTTGGGCTGCATCCACTGTGGATGATCCACTCTTCGCTTTCATGTCTCCATGGCTTTGAGATGAGCTTCTCAAGGTTTTTCTCATTGTGGACATAGGCCCTAGGCTGAGATCAAATCTGCAGAGAAGGATGCTGCACTGTAGTGCTCACAAAACTTCGGTCTGATGGCCTGGTTGTTGGACATGCCTCGGGCGTGCTTCTGGTACAGTTCAACAGTTCAGCAGCGCGACATAACAAACACTATATGCATCAGCATGAACACCAACTTCGTGTTCACGAGGCACGGCTCCGAGTTGGACTGTAACGGCAATAAAATGTGGCAAAGACGGGGGACAACCGTTCAATGCAGTCTTCGTTGAACGATGGTGGCAAAGAGACTTCTGGACATTTACTCCGGACCTCGCAGGGCTAGTAGCTGCTATTATTTAACAGGTGAGCGAAAGGTGCCTAGTCTGCATTTGCGCGTGCAAGTCTGGATTGAAGCTGTGTCCAAGGGTTCAGCCGAAGCTGTCATTGTCATGTGATCGGATGCCGGAAGCACTGCAGAATGCGTTGCTGCAAGCATTCAATCAAGTTTGGTAATCTCCCAGTCATCATTTCCACGTTAAGATCTGCATAGCCGTGGAATGCGCGAGCGAACAACAACGCTTCTTTAGATTTGTGCTTTTGGTGCCCCACTGAGACATTGGAGAGCAAGCTCCTCGCTGGCATCGAACGCACCTGGACGGCAGATTGCAAGCTGGTGCGCCGTCTTGCTTGGGCAGCGGTACGTTTGCCTGCCTCTTTAGAGCCTAAAGGGGCCTCGGGGAAGCAAAATTGCACCCGATGCGCCCGAATAGCTGGGCCTTTCTTGGATCTGAAGGTGGGCAAGAAGTTGTGTCCAGCCGGAACCCGCTGATCTTCTTCATGCGCGGCCGTGGTCAGAGGCCGATAGCTGCTGCACCAAGATGATGTGCTGGGGTCACCAGTCGGCGCACTTGTCCTTAGTAGAACTGATGAACCGCCCATGACTTGTCATGGCCGGGAGAAAGCCAAGGGTTGAACGAGACGTTTTCGGTGTTCAAGGTTAAAGTGATTGGAGGGCTGGGTAGGGGCACATGTAAAGCCATGAAGCTGTACGGCGAAGCCACGAAGGCGCAACTTCACCTCAGGAACTTCTCTGCCATGCCTTGATGTCGAGGCTTCACGTTCCTGTGCAGAGCCTCGTTAGGAGCAGAAACAGTTACTGTAGCAGAGAACGGCACACAGTAAAGGTATAATCCCCGTTTACTCACGGACACATCTGTTCGACCATGTATGCCTTCATGCTCCAGTCCTGGAATGGTGCCCGATTTTATCCTCGGATGCACCTAGAAAAATCGCTGCACAAAACCCGGCTTGCACGGCCTGCTGAAAAACAGAAGAGCGTGCACGCGAAAGAGGTGTCAGCGAAGTAGGGGCCATAGGCGTCGCCATTTTGTCAGGCCAGGCGTGTGCCTGCCTGCCATGCTTCTGTCGACACTGACAAATCAGAATCAGCCTCTGGCTTGCTCACCAACTCGCTCACTTCCGATCATCAGTCGCTTGTCAGTTTGTCCGGGCCTTCAATTCTGTCGCCTGAAGATGCCTGAAGGATGCCTGTTTCTGCCTCTGGAGCAGCTTTGTCCGCTCTTTCATCAGGTTGAGCCCCGACTTTCCATCCAACTCCTCAACCGAACTCCGGCTCCGTGCCCAGTCCACCAGCCGGCATGGATCCGGGCTAGAAATTAGGAGACAGACTGACTCAGATAAAAACAGCATTATCAGGCTATCTCGTCGCCTGCCGTTCCCTCTTTTTTCTCTCAGTGGTGCGAGCAAAGTCTCAAGGAGGCAACATCCGCATGTCTACTCTCGATCGCAGGTTGGTGAACATGTTGTCGCTTGGTCTGCAAATACCTGAGATGGGCATTCTAAGCCTTCTCAACCGACCTGGACCATGTACAACAGGCCTCTGTACAGTTCTGTAGTGTAAGTAGTGGTAGGATCTAATTGCTGAAAGTTCAAGTGCCGAAAGACACACCGACATAGAATTATTCTAAGGCTTTCCAAGAGATTAAAGCATGTAGCAGCTGCAAATCTTCAGCATTCAGAAGGTTTCAGGGGTATCCTTGGCCTTTAGCAACGATGGGTTCGAAATACAGAATGTGCGAGTATTAGTGAGTCACATAGTAGTTTCAGAGGATTTGTTGCTTGCAGCCATAGCTCAGCTTTCAAAGCCCTTCACGTGTGCCGCACTGCATACTGTATACATACGTACATACATACATACATACATACATACATGCATACATGCATGCATACTCACTCCCATACGGTGTCTAAAGTGGTGGCTTGAAATGATGCCTCCAGTTCAGTGAAGCCCAGTTATGCCCAGTTTTCCCATGCAGCTGGCGTGTGTGCCCAGAATCCGCAACCTTAAAGCTGGTTCCGTTGTGCAGGGAGTAGGCCCAGCTCAGGACCTTCCTTCAGCCGACCATCTTGAAGACAGTCGCCCAGCAGGCCGCTAGGACCCATGTACTTTAAACAGCACAGGTCTGCAGAATTCTGCAGATTACATGGCAGACGTCTGCATATCGCCTCGCTAGACATGTCTCAGCTCGACTGAAGCAACCTGCCCAGGAGCAAGCCCGGGCACAGAAGGTCCTGCAGTTTGAGAAACATGTCTGCCAACTTCTGTTGTTCGCTTGTAACACGGAGTTCCCCAATCAGTCCAGGACAAAAGGAGTTCTAGAATCATGTGCGAGCTGCCGCACCTCCTTAATCTATCAGTTCATCCGCTCAATTGAATGACACAATTTTCGAATCGACTGGAGCTCCATAAAGGAAAGCTCAACCTGCCGGCCGTCCAAACCTCGCCCCGACATCTTCGCAGATGTGGTCCTACCGCACCTCCTCCTTGTCCATGGAGCATTGGGAGCGTCCCGTTCCAACGTCGTCAGCCTAGTCTTGTGCTTGCACGTGCGAAGCCCGTGGTAGTAGGACACAGCGTTAACGTTCTGAATGTCTCTCGGCTCGGCTTGGGGGCCCTAATAGTTCCCGCAGCAACGGCTTTGAGGTGTTTCCCCATCACGAGCATTTGCCCTGCGGGCGGCTACCGAAGACGCCAGAACTTGCATCGCTGGATCAAGACGAGGCGCCTGGAAGGTGGGTCAAGGTTGAAAATACAACACCGTCGGGACAAGATCATTGGCGCTACCGGTCTATAGGAGCCTGTCTGGAAGCCTTCGACAGAATCTCATCGTGATTTCTGCAATTAAGCTTGACATTCTGGAACGGCTGGCTTGCAAGCACCACCGTTTTCTGAGCAAAGTGGCTCACAGCCAGGGTCCATGCTGGAGATCGAGTTCCTGCTCCTCGGATGGAGATTGGCACAGGATGCCTGCAGTCGGCCTGATCGCAGAAGCAGAAAACCAGATAATGCCAGAGGGAGAAAGATAGAGAACGAGAGCGTAGTGAGTTTGGCTGAAGCTCAAGTGCTGGACCCCACTGGGCAGTCCCGGCTGATCAACTTTTCCCAGTGGGTCCATTGTGCAGTCATCCATGTCCCCACGACTCGGTTGCTACCCGGTGTAGTGTACTGCTAGCATCTGCTAGCATGCCTGTTCCATCTTGAGGGTGCGCGCAGCCTAGACGGGTGAGTACGGGCCGGCACGGCATCACTCCTCGAGGGCGCATGATAGTTTGTGGCCGCGCGAGACACCAGCTAATGGCTCTCCTGTCTGAGCGGGGAGTGCCTGTCTGTGTTTGTTGTTATGCTTGCTTTCATGTAAGTCTGCTTCTCCTTTTGTGCGGGTTGTTTGTGGGAGAGGAGCATGCACGTTCGATCCACTGCAGTAGTCAGGATATTCAGAGCCGTGCTGTGCGAAGTAACTACAGTAATTAATGTCTCAACTGATCGAATCGGAATCCCCAGCTGCAGGCTGCGTTTTGAATCGATACAATGTGCCTGCTCAGGACGCATCGCTCCCGGGCGGCATGCGTGTACATCAAATTCTCAAAAGATCGCGGGGCTGGACGCTACTGCTCTTCGAAGGCGGTATTTCGTGGGGGCCGGCGGGGAGCGGTCGGTAGGAAACTTCCGGAAAAAACAGGAGGCGCTGCTTTGGACCTTGAATTTCGAAGTTTTGACAGAGACAGCTACCACATGATGCACGCCCCCCCAGTCAGCAGGACTTCCACAGCTGTTTTTGGTAGAATCGGAGATGCTGCTGTCCTCCTTGGTCTCCAGTGGACTTTGTACAAGTGTCACCCAGCTTGCAAGGCGGAGAAGAGGAGAACCTCGACATGGAGAAGCATTTGGGGAACAAAGTGCTGAGTTTGTCGGAGCTTGAGGCCCGACATGGTGAGGTTGTGAGTTGTGAGGGGAGCGGGCGAGTTTCCCGTTATGGATTGCTCGTGGCCAAAGAACACCCTGTGCCCCCCCAAACACTCCACCCGGAAGGCGTTCGGGGCTGGCTTCAAATCGACGTCCGACCCCACGAATTTCGTCCCGATGGTCGACGAGGCCGCAGTAAGGAGGGGAAACTAATGGTAACTACATAGTCGCGCCCACCCCTTTAGCAGCAGATTCGGGGCAGTCGGCAGTGGCAGGTGATCTGCTTTCCGGCCCAAGACGCTCCCCGGATGCACGTAAGCCAGCAAATGCCAGATGGCAATAAAGGTGGTTGCTGTATGTGATGCCTCAGCTTTCATGTTGTTTCCTGACCCCCAGGTGGAGGCACATCACATCTTCGGAGTACATGGCCAGTGCCTGTTCTTGGTCCGACCGGATCATTATGTGGGTTTCCGATGCGAGCCCTTGCGAAGAGGCCGCACTGTGGTCAAGCATGAGGTTGCATGTTGCGAGGGTTCTGGGGTTCTGTGTTGATGCTTGGGATGTCAAGTTGAAGAGTTGGGAGGGAAGAGAACGCAGTTGGAAGCATGCCGGGATTCTTCGGAGTGTTTGACCAGGAGCCGTGTACCGCTACTTCCGTCTGGCTTGTGGCATCAGCCACGGAATGCCGGAGGACAGCTTGTAAGCATGGTTTAGCTCCAATAGGGACTTTAGGGATGCAATCTGTCGGGATGCAATCTGTCGGGGGTCGGGGTGGAAAGCAATGAACATTTTGTGTTTTGTACTCAACTTCCCGAACCATGCCAGTTCTTGCAGGACAGGGTCTCTGCCAAGCCTCACTTAGCGTACTCTTCTCAGGATGCCCCTGCCTCTTCGCGTGTCTTCGATCCCCTGCCGGTGACCGTATGGACGCTGATCCTGCTGCTCGTGATTTTCCTCTTCCTTTGAAGAGAACAGGGCCAAAGAGCAGTTTGCTTCCGGATGCGAGCAGAGCCAAATCTAGAGACAGAAGATGATGGTTATTCAATACTGTAGGTGCGATGTAGGCCATGCTTGCGATCTAGCTGCTTGTCTTTGGTAATTGCCGGAGTTAGGACATCCACAGCTGGAGTTGTTTCGGATGCTTGAAGCTTGCACCCGAGGCATGCTGTAGCAGTCAGCGGCTAGTTCCATTGATTACCACTTGTTACTTAGTTCATGGCGATCGCCCTCGTAAAAATCTGCCACTGGACAAGCATGAGTCATGAGGCCGAGAAAGCTCACATGAGTACCCAGCCAACAACAAACAGGAAGAAACACAGAAACAAATACAGCAATATTTTCAATACTAATGCTATAGTGACATATAGTGACTGCTAGTAATGGCTGCTGCTGCTGGTCCTACTACTACGACTACTACGACGACGACGACTACTACTACTAATACCACTGCTACTAGTACTACTAACACTAATACTAGTTCTCAATCCACAGAACACGCGTAGCCGTGGCACGATGACGATAATACATGTGCTGATAGTACAGAATATGGAAACTGACAGTATGTGTCATCAGCAGCATACAGCTTTACAGCCAAAGTAATAGGAACAATACCGCACCGCGACGAAACATGCTTATATTAATATTAGCACGACAGTCTTCGAATTTTCGTCCTTGGTCTGGTTTCCATGTCTGCCCATATTCAATGAAGGTTGCGCTTTTCTTGAATCTATAGGCTCGCGTCGGCTCGGTGTTAACTACGAGCGGCTTTTCGAGAGGAATTTAGAAAGGATATGCAATCTGAGCAATTACTTCGGGCGTAGGAGGGAGGGACTGATACACGTTGCTTCACTATGGCGGCGTTTATCCCGCACTGTGGAATCAACTGCTGGATAAGGCGAATTCCGCACCGAATGTGCAGCACAACTTATCGCCTAAAGAGGATCTGGGTCTTGAGGCATTCGGAGTTCCCGGCCCTCGAAGTTTTGAAAGAGATATGGGACTGTGCTAGCGTTAGAACATGGCTTTTAGACTTTAATGGGTCCCATGAATCACATCAGTGTTTTCGAACTTTCCTAGTTTAGATTTTGGCTGGAGATCCCCATCATTGACTTCGGGACTTTGTATCAACAACCTGATGGCGAGCACCGGCAGGTGTCCAAGTCCCTCTCGTCTTTGAGCGTTCTTGACGTGATCGAGGACAACCGGTGGTGCAGCATGAGTCGCCAGCAAGCATAACTCCTTCTCCACCTCCTCAACCTCCACCTCGCCTCCACCTCCACCTCGCCTGAGAGAAAGCGGCAGTTGTGAAATTCAAAATTGTTCCGAACCCTAACCAAAGCGAGGAGCCCAGCATCCAGAGCAATGACGCTGCAATGGTTGCGGCGAGGGCTTTGGGCTTCAAGGGCTTCGATGCAGCACAGGCGACTTCAAAGCCAGGATTTTGTCCGATGTTACGAAGGTTTCAAGATCTGGAGTGCTGGTGGGAATGGGAGGTTGAGGTTGTATGGAACTTGGGTGAATACAGATGCGATGGCTGAAGGCCTGAAGACCACCTATCTCACGAGAGCTGTCATAAGCATGTGGCCTGCAGGATCCAGGCCTGGTCCGTGTATATACAGCTTTGGACAAATCTCGCCGACAGATTTACAAATCCTTTGACGTGGTGAACATTGCGCTTGCACATAGGCGGCTCCTGCCGACGTGCAGACGCAGGCAGCCATCCGGCTACGGGGCAAGGCCACACCGTTGCCGTTGAAGGGGAGGCAGAGGTGTGGACTTAGGCTTAGCTTCGGTTTTGAATCCGTGGCATGCGATTGGTGTAAATTGAAGATTTGTCGGCTTGGTTGAAGCCAGAAGTGTCGGCGAATTTCTTCTGGCCGAGTGTTAAGTGGTCTGCAGAGTCTGCAAAGGGTTTGGGGAAAATCGGGGCGCCGACGTGTGACACTATGGTGTTCGGCCTGATCTGAAGTTTCCCTTTGAGCCACCTCTCGTACTGTGGCGTGCAGCCACGATCTAGACGGGCATGTGCTTGCAGGGCCTTACTGATGGAAGCGATTTTTTGTGGTTGCAGCTCCGGAAAACCGTGGCCACTACTTTCTCTGTGCATGAGCACTTGGCGTAGACCACTCTGCCACAATGGGTAGACTTTCTGATCTGGCCAGTTGCGATCCAAAGAGCTCGCGCAGCTCCGCCAGCTGGTTGAGGGTGACGAAAGGCACCCTTCGGCAGACTGAGTTGTAAGCATCTTGCGGTCCTTCATCAAACCCTGGGTTGTGTTCTGGAGCTTGCGGAAGTGATTGGAACAACCTCAGAGGCAAAAGCCTCAGCTCGCGAGGTTCGCCCGGCTGCTGGAGAGGCATTGCAAGGCCGGGCACCGAAAGTAGGAAAAGGCGGCTAAGCCAAGAGTGGTGATGTCCCGGCAGCTGGGCCACTTATACGTGCACCGGCAACTGTATTTCCTTTGCATCCATGCTCGCATGTAGCAAGTGCCAGTCGGAATTGGATAAGCTCCTTTTCCATGACTTGCACAATTTCATGAAGGGAAACGTCAATGACGGATCCACTTGTTACATTCCGTCGTTCCGGAGAAGTCTCAGGCCATTCACGAGCTCATTGCCCTTGGCAACCCTGCACCAGCGTCTGAGATGCAAGTCAGTCGCGCCATGCGGAACCACTGTCTTTACTTGTACGCAGGCGTATGTCAATGTAATTATGTAGCACAAGCTGCAAGATCATATGCCGGCGTGGGCAGGTTGCCAAGTCGAGTATGATCTATGTGCATGCCATAGCGCTGTCCAAGCCCTCTGTCTTGCAGGGTTGGGCTTGATGTAAGGAAACACCATTGTCACTATTTCATTTGACCCATGCCGAAGTCGTTTTGCTCGCGCCACCTGAGCCTGTGGTCAGGCAAGGAGTCCGGAGGGTACCCGTAGTCTCTACAAGCGCTGTGCACTTCCACGAACAGAAGTCCGGCATCCGAGTCACAGACGACGCACGAGCCACAGGCAACAAACCACCTCAGCACGAAACTATCCAAGGTGCTGGCGGTTCTGGCCGGCCTGGTTTGGAGCAGCCTTTCCATAGCAGCCTTCCTGCAAGAGAGCGACGTTCCTGAATGTGCAAACGTTGGGATTCATGAGACAACATGTGGTAACCAAACCTTGAATGCTATGGGTTACCCAGCGCACAGTGTACAGAACCACGGTACTGAAAAGCGTGTCAGTACCAAAAGAAGTCTATCGGGAGACACCTGTGCTGCCGGTGTAGTTTTCAGCTTTGAGATTTATGAGCAGGAGTGTGCATGTCAGGGCCTTGAGTTGATGCGGCTAGCGTTTGGAGGCAGTGCAAAGTTCGGAAGGTTGGTACTATCGGAACAATGAGTTTAAAGGCTAAACAAGGAGCGGTTCCTCGCAAGAGTGGTGCTGTGGAAAATGGTTGGTTTTGCTAGTGAACCCATTCTACTATCCGAACATGAATGTTTCGAATCCGGAATTACGCTACATGTTATGCCCGGTGCTCTTGACACGACACATGTCATGATTTTACGTCCTCGTCCGTGATAGACGTGGAGGCCGAGAGAAGCATTCTATCATTTTCCGCCTGGTATGCCTCGCTCGTTCAGGCTTGGGAGCTCGACACCTCGCACATGCCGAAGGCTGGCGACACAGGGAAGATTCTAAGAGAGTGTTGACCGCGCGTTTGTTTATGCGTAAGCTGAACAAGTTTAGAAAAACATCAATGTAGAGAGCGAGGGAGCCAGAGGGAGACAGAGAGTGCATAGCAGCAATTGCGTGCTACCGTCCCAGATACCATATCATTTTTCCACTTGTTCATGCCTTTGTGGATACTTTCTTCGGGAGACTGAGCGGTTTTTGTTTCAAACCTCCCTACCAAGCCCTGAAACAGGGTTGAGCCATTTTTATGTATATGTAGATGTATATATGTAAATAGATGCACATACACACTTACATAAGCATATGTATGTCTATATATACATATATATATATATATAGACTTGTGCATGTACGCAGAGAACGGGAGAAGATAGGTGCCTTCCCGGAGAAGCAGAGAGGGAGAGAACGAGAACGCGGCACACAACCCCGCCCCCCCATAATTCGCTTAATTAGCCTTGACCTCGTCATCGGGTCCTGTCAAACACGCAACGGTTGGGTTTCCATGGAGCTCATGTCGATGGAGCCCACATCTAGGAGGTGCGGAGGGCAAAGAGCTGGCTTGCAGCCCGAACGAGGAAAGTGAAGCGCTGGAGACGGAGACTCGGTGGTGCTGGGTCGTACGATATGCCGAGGCTAAGGGCAAATGCGAACTTCTGTGAGGTCGCCTGGACCTTGTCCGCATGACAGGGGCCCTCGGCTTGGGGGTGACCCATTTCAACAGGTCCGGACCGCACGTCCGAAAGAGCGAGCGGAGTACATCTCAAGATGGCCTGCAGAGGACGAAGAAGCAGTGAATTTGGGCTTGTGGAACACAACCTTCAGCAAGTGAGTTCAGTACAGAACGCGCACCCATTCGAGCCCCAACTAGATCGTGTGGTAGGAGTTTGCAGTGAATGTGGCTTGTTTGTGGAATTCGAGCCCCAACCAGATCATGCCACGCAGTGCTGGCTTACAAAACAGGGACTGGGGGCAGCACAGGGAGCGAGGACAGGGGGCACAGAGTGAGCAAGGGCCCCAGTCTCGAATGATGGAACGCTGTGTCCGTAGCAACTAGGTGCGCATCGTGCTACCTTTCAGAGGAGGGGGGGCAACCTCCTTGTCAAGACCTTCACAAAGACAAAACGACAGAGACAAAAGGGTCGCTAGCTGGCGAAAGCGAGAGGGCGAATTGCAGTAGCGAGCAGTTTGGCTTGTTGATCCGACCCAAAGTACTAGCAGTGTTTGGTTACGTGCTCCAAAACTCTTGCAACATGGAGAGTCCACCGCCAGAACAGTTCGGCATGTCGAGCCTGTTGCAAGACCCGTGTAGGCGAGGATGAAGAATGAGATCGAGCAGCTCAAAGTCAAGCTGCAGAAGGCATCTACCGTCGACTTGAGCAGGAACTAGGCCAGCAGACGAGTTCTGCCCCATGTGCTTGTAGTGGAATCCGTAACAACATGTAACAATAAGTCGCTGAGCAGCAAAGCAGGCTGACTTCGGCCGAGGGTTCCGGTCTGCTGTTGCTATCGGTCACCGGCGCAATGATCAGGTGATGGACAACCTCAGCGAATCCCGGATGTGCTACCTGAAGGAGACGATTCTGTGAAAGCAGCGCAGGGGCAATGACACGCCGAGACTGGCGAATCTGACATGGTGCTGACAGGGTGCCGGTCGACAGCTTGCAATTCACGGCTCTGAAACATCCCGCGCAGCATTCCAGGCACAGAAATTCAAAGCACCGGAGTGCTTCCCGTTCTCATGATCTGATGCTTTCTAATGCAAGGCATGCCAGCATCAGCACTACATGTAGAACCATGTTTTGGTGGCCTTTGTGGTGATTCTAGTGCTTCTTCAAATTCAACCCCGAATGACCGCCTTTGAAACAAGTACTAAGTCAGAAGCTGTTACTGGCATCCTCGCGGCGTGCCGCCCACAGCATGCAGCAGAGCGACGATGCGGACCTTGAAGGCAATGTTGGGCAAAGCTATCGCTCGAGACGGTGAGGGCTTCGGACAGGGACAGGGGTAGCGAGCGCCGTCTGTATTGAGGTTCTGCGAGGTTCCACATGTCGAGTATATACCTACCTTGCAGACAGCCGAATAATATCACGTGACGTCAGCCCTTCCCCCACCCGCCCACCCGATCGTGGCCAATACAGAAGCATCTGAACTCGATTGATGTTGAGTGCGTGTCACAGTGCTTGTCAACATGCGCCTTGGTATTCCGTGCCTTGACCCAAGGCTCTGGCGACTGGGCCGACTTGCTGCGGCCCCGACAGGCAGAGGCTGGTTTTGGGCCGACCGGTACATCGCCGCCGAAATCTACAAAGGTTTGTGATTCTAGCCGGAGGGCGAGAGAGAGAGAGAGAGAGAGACTCCTCTGCGCTAGAAAAGCGAGATTGGTCCTGTCAGACCTCTGAGCATGCAGCGAGGCTGATGAGGCTTTGCGCGTGGGCTTTTCCATTCTCGGCGAGCCCACGCTGGTGCCCTCCAAAGGCGAGCAAGGATTGGACTTATGAGATGTCTCGCATGGCCTGCAGATGCCTGCAGCTTGATGATTCCCCTGCTTCATGCCCGTGCTGTCAAATTGTCAAATGTTCAATATGCACACATGCGCGCACTCCCACTCCCACCCCAATACACCAACCAACCAACCAGCCAGCCAGCCAGCCAGCCAGCCAGCCAGCCAGCCAGCCAGCCAGCCAGCCAGCCAGCCAGCCAGCCAGCCAGCCAACCAGCCAACCCGCCACCTGCCAACCACCCAACCAACCAGCCAGCCAACCAACCAACCAGCCAACCAACCAATCAACCAACATGCGAAAGGCGAGAGAAAACCCTCAGGCATCGCGGTCGGCACGGAGCCGTCTTTTGATGCGGCGGTGCAGTCAGATGGACCCTTGCTCGACGAGGACGTCGCTCGGGCTCGTAACTCTGGACTCTGGGCTTGGTCTAGTAATCCAGAGCTGTTCATGGTTCGGCGAGCCGTTCATGAGAGGGCCGCCTAGCAGAAGCTGAAAGATGGTATAAAGATCAGCACGGACATCCCAACCTCGGGGGTCAGATATTTGTCATGGTTGTGCAGCAGTCTGCTTTGCGAATAGGCCCTGCCAGATCCTAAATTTTAGACCCGGCCCGATGGGCATATTGAGATTTCCTGAAATCGCGAAGCGGCTGTCCAAGGCCAAGATTCAGCATAAGTGTTTAGGATTGACTGCGGAGGAGGCCCTGAGTGTCCTGAGCGCCCGCGACGCGGCGCGTGTAACAGGTTTTCTGCGAGGCAGCGGGGCTTTCTTTGCTAGCTTTGCTCGGCCTTGTCTGTAAGAATATGCATAATATAAGGTCTGGCGACAGTAGATCCGAAGACCCTTCTCGCGGCATGCGGATGATCTGTGATGACAGGTCTCCGCGACATGCGCAGTGCCTTCGACGCGACCACCGTTGAGGCAGGGAACGCGCAGGCAGTACGGTATCTGGTTGCTTTTTACGGATTCACGTGCCGTGCGTGGATATTCATCTTCCGACTGCAAACCAGCGTAGCTTAGCACGGCGTGGTTTGTCGCAGCGCTTCATACATACATACATACATACATACATACATACATACATACAGACAGACAGACAGACAGACAGATGCATACATACATACATACATGCATACATACATAGTCAGGACACACATACACATACAGGCATATATATATATATATATCTATCTATCGATCTATCTATCTATCTATCTATCTATCTATCCATTTATTTATATATGCATACATACGTACAGACATGTATGTATGTATGTATGTATGTATGTATGTATGTATGTATGTATGCATGCATGTATGTATGTGTGTGTATGCATGGATGTACGTATGTATGCATGTATGTATGTATGTATGTATGTATGTTCGTATACATGCATGTACGTGTGTAATGTATGTATGCATGGATGGATGTATGTATGTATATACGTATATATATATATATATGGAAATGTTTGTAACTGTACAGTACAGAGTTGCTGGCATATATGTGTGTGTGTATATATATATATATACATATTCAGGTAAACGTACATGCATGCATACATACATGCATACATACAGATACAGTCTGTTTGTATAGATCTGACAACACACATATGTATATGTATATGTATGTATATATATATATACATATACATGAATGAAGGTCGGAAAACGGCCCCTGGGTTTTGCTAGATTTACGAATACACATCGGCTTTATAATGACCTGCTAGTGGTGTAAGAAGCTGACATCAATAAGTTCGCTTTTCCTCCCCCCTAATTCTAGGTTGTGTTTTTCGGCATGTTTCTGGTTTGATTGTATAGCGAACCCAAACAAGACCCTAATAAGCTTATTTCTGATCTATTTTGTAGTTGTTGTCGTGTCAAGGCATCGCAGAATCCTTGTCATCTGCCAGTGGAATCTTTTCGATAGCTGCATTGCTGCCTTATTTGGACCCTATTTGGGCTCTATCTGGGCCGTGTTCGGGCCTTATTTGGGGCTTCTCTGTTCTTGATGTCCGTACGAGTAACGCTTATTGATCAAACTGAGCACCAATTTGACTCTGATTCGGGTGGCAACGAAACAAAACCAAAATATCTTCTTCCAGCCTTATTTCCTTAGTTTGCTCGGCCCGAGGAGGGATATTAGGGGGAGGGGGGGGGGGGGTAGCTAATGTCTTCATGATAAAGATGATAGAGTCACAATGGAAGTGGAGAATCGCGGTTCAACAATGTGCTTGAATGTCAGAACGTCGTAGAGGAAATGGATGGTTTGGAAGACATGCTCATGTTGTACCACTTCCACATTCCAAGCTTATAGAAATGGGTTAGGAGCATGTATGATAGAAAAGCTCTAAGACATGCCACTTCCTGAGATCCTTGAGAGATTGGCATGTTAAATAGTTTCTGAATCCTCCCTCCAAACTAGCCAGGCATCATTCAAACAGAACGTAGGAAGGTATGTACAAGTTTTTACTTCTGCAGGGATACACTCCTGTTTCATGATGAATATAATTCCATTCATCCTAAAGATTGATAATGTTCCGGACAGTTCGAAGGTTAGTCCCGAAAATGCAAGCTAAATTCCGAAGCTTTTTTGACTATACAAGCATGTGCATTTTACGTGGCCTAGCCAGCGGAGGAATTTTTACGCGGTTTTAAACGAGCTTTCGTCCTGGCGCAGTATTGTGGGTTTTGAACTTCCTGTACAGTAGGACTTTTGTCCGGGGCATATTCGCAAAAATAGCAAAATGGAGGTGCCGTTTTCCGACCCTAAACAATATATATATATATATAGATATGTATACGTATATGCATGTGTATGTATCCCTGACAGACAGATAGGTAGTTATACACATAGCAGAGTTACGCAGAGTCACTTTTACATACATGTGTGTAGATAAATACCGCTGAAAATGAACAGCAGCTGTGAGTAAACCACTGTGTAAATAGTTGATTAGTCATGTGTCCGTGTATCTGTTTATTCGCTTTATTTACCTTATTCATGTAACTGTTATATATATATATGTATGAATATGTATATGCATATATGTATAAATATATATATATATATGCATATATATATATACACATTTTTTTGTATATGTGCACGCATGTGCATGCATGCATGGGTGCACACATTTTTGTGTGTTTTTTATATATTGTGTATATTTGTATTTATGTGTGTGCGATCACACACACACACATAGGATGATAAACTGTGGCTCCGAGCTTGCTGGAGGCGCTTCTGCGTCTTCTCAAATCGCTTCCCGCCCCGGACGGACCCAAGATTCTGCTCTTTGCCTGCCATCAATCTCAAGCACGACATGCCCAGGTTTGTGAAATTCAATTTGCCTGCTAGAGTTCTCTTTCTTCCACTCCTGTTGCTGCTGCTGCTGCTGCTGCTAAAACGATGACGACGCCGACTGCTGCTGCTACCGCCACTGCTACCGCTACTGCGACTGCGACTGCGACTGCGACTACGACTACTACTAGCACTACCAGCACTACTACTACTACTACTACTACTACTACTACTACTACTGATACTACTACCACTACT